TACAGGTAATTCCAGCATTTAGGAGGTTGAGGCAGGAGAATTGTTGCAAGTTCAAGGCCGGCTTGACCTACATGGTAAACATCAGACCAGCCAGGGCTACCTAGGGAAGCCCCATTTATAGACCAGGCTGTGGGAGTGCTGGTGCTGCTTTACCATTACTGATTCTATGACCTCAGGCAAGCTGCTTAACCTTTCTGTGCCCTAGTTTCCTCATTGTAAAATAGAGATGGTGCTGTCTACCCAGTAGGACCGCTGTGCAGGTTAAACAGCTGGCATATCTGAGGCACTTGAGTAGCGTTGGGTCCGCATCGCGTATCCTCAGGTGCTGTGCCTCTCATCTTAGTAAGCACAGATTTAGCTCCTCAGCACCCGGCATTAAACTGTTCCCAGTAGGTATACATATATATCTTTGAGCATTCTTATTTTGTTTTTAGGATTATTTGTAGGACAGCTGTCTTGAAATGGGAAATTCTGGATCAAAAGATGACATTTTAACCATCGCTATAGTAATGTATATATTAAATTCAAGTCCTAATTCTGGTCAGGCAAATTAACACATTTACTGTGCAGTCTTATAGAAAACCAATAAATTAAAATCTGATGAGACAAAGAGAGAGGCTTAAGTAAACGTTAGGACTTACTGTTTTATAGCTGAAGATGGTTCAATAGCTGTAATTTTATTTTATATGCTTCAAAGGAGCCTAGAAAAATATCAGTTATATGCTCAAAGGTTTGATGTTATCAATATTTTATGTATTTTCTACTTACATTTGAGATTTAGTAATAACACATTTTAGGTTAATATTGTTATTGTCATAATAATGTTAATTGTTGTGTAAGTTTGTGTTTTAGGCTTGATCTTAATTCTGCAGAGATCAAGACCCACTCAGCTTTTGTGAGAACAATGTATTCTTGTAGGTTTTATGGTTATCATGATTTAATAATTGAGGAGAGGATGTGATAGGACCAAAACTTTGTGCTCTATATTAAGTATGAAGTTTAACTCAGCACCCAGGAGGGAATGGGGAGGAGCTCAAACAATTTTCTTTTCTTTCTTGACAATCCAGTCTTTATAATTCATGTTAGGGGACTTGTGTGAGCTGGGAACAGGTTCCATAAGGAAAATGCCAACAGTCACATTTAAAATTTTTATCAAATAATGAAAACAATGGAGATTAAATAGAATGCCATAACTGTTTAATAAATGGCTAATTGCTATTCTGGTACAGGCACCTTGCTGAAGGTGGCACTGTTACACATTGCTTACAGGGTGGGTTCTGATAGAGCAGCTTAGGGACTTCCTAGTTGGGTGCTGTGGTGCACATCAGTAATCCCAGAGACCCTGCCCCCAGATGGAGGCAGGAGGATCAGACGTTCAAAGTCATCTCAGCTACATAGTTTGAGACCAGCCTGGGCTACGTGACCCCATCTCAAAAAGTCCCTCCCACCCAAAATGTCCTCCTTCTTGACTGGGTCACCTCTGGCATTCTGTCCTGAGGGACATATTCAGGAATGGTAAAGTGTTTACTATTTCAGTTCTCACAGTCGAAGACTGGAGACGACATGTCTCCAACAGTGCAGGAGCACTTAGCTGATCACGGTGACTACTGTGTGGCTGTGCTGTACCGTCCTGGAAGCTTATTTTCTCAAGAAAGTGTTCTGATACCGTGTTAATTGTGAGCGAAAGCTTGGCAATGTCCTGATTCGGTGGTGAGATGGTGCATCGCCTTGGGGTTTTCTCCCCTCTGTTTTCTTCTTCTTTTTGGCATCTGCTAAGACTGTTATAGTAAAACCAAATATTAGTTAGAAAATAGAAGAAAGCATGGCCCCTCCCAGTAACCCAGTTAGGACTTATGGACATTTGCACTGAAAGATTATGGAAAAAAAGTGATGAGGATGTCATCTCTTATGTCTCATTTTTAGAGATGTTCATTAAATAGCTGGTTTACATGCTAGCTAGAATCCTTTACCTGTAGTTATGGAGACCATGCAGGCTGGGAAAGGAGATACTACAAGCATAAAAGGATTAATGCGGGGTCAAGGCTGTGAGTGTCCTAAGGGCTGGGGACTGATTGGGGCTTGAGAGGAGACAGGAGTTACCCCTACCGAAGGGGTGCAGACAAGTTGGCACAAGAATGAATTCTGGAGGAGCCTCAAGGATGGGTAGGGCTTTGACAGGCAGATGCTGGGGAAGCAGATAGAAGAGGTGTAGCAGGAGGAAGAGCTGTGCCGGGGTTCCTGTGGACATACTTGGTTTGGATGAATTACATCATGAGATCCGTGAGAAGACTCAGACACAAACCCATACCATGTGACTGAGAAGTTCTGATGTCTTGGATGGAGAAATAGTGTGGAGGGACGTGTGCCAGAAAGGATGGTCTGTTGGCACTGTTAGTGTGGTCCAGCAGGACAGCAGGAGAGGTGGCGTTGCACAGGAGGACCGCAAACAGGCTGCCGGATGTAGGAAAGGCAACGGGGAGAAATCGTCCACGTCCGGTCCAGGGCTCTTGTTCTAGAGTGATGTGAAAGTCAGAAGAAGTGGTGTAGGGACCAAAAGGCAGACTGAGGTTTAGACTGCAGTTGCTCTTCCAGGGGGACATGGCTGAGTGTGGAAGTATTTAGACACGTTCACTGAAAGATTTTGAAGGAAGCTTTCTAAGACCTCATAGGCCCTTTCAGTCACTGGAAGTTTCCACATGTGGAGACTGTCTGCTCTGTCATGCTGCCTGCTTGTGTCCTGGATGCTGTAGAGAGACAGTGTAAGACGTCTCAGCCCTTGCCTCAAAGGAATCTCCGCCAAGCGCTGAAACCGAGTGCAGCTTCATTGGGATTGCGTAGGAATCGCAGCCTAAGGGGCAGCGTCACCCGTAGCAGTAACATACACGTTTGCGCTAGGAAGAATGTGGTTGCTGCTGCCAAAAGACCACGGACATCAGTGCGTGACTCCTTTTGTGAAGCTCTGAGCATGTGCCTAAGAGGACAGAGGGAGCCACTGTCACCAAAGTGGGAGGGGCTTCATGCATCAGTGGCAGAGAGGGAGTGAGGCCCTAGGACTGACGCTGACCGACAGCTACTCTCGACTGAATCTCTTCTTGTTGGGTGCTTCACGCTTTTACTAGGTTCTCGCGGTGAAATGTGAGGTGAAAGGAAGCTGCTGCCGCTGCTTTTTGTATTTGTTGTTGTTTCTTTTGAGACAGGCTCTCCTGTAGCCCCAACAGGCCTGGAACTCATAGTGTAGACCAGGCTTGCCTGACTCTTTCACAGAGCTCCGCTGTCTTTGATCCCTCAGTGCTGGGATCAAAAGTGTGCACCATGTCTGGTGGGAGAAGCTTCTTGAATGTTTTGATGGCTTTATAGTCACAACTGACTGCAGGTGTGTGCGTGTGTGTGTGCGTGTGTGTGTGTGTGTACCTGTGTGTATGTGCCCACATGCTCATGGCATGCATGTGGAAGTCAGAGAGCAACTTGCAGGAGTTGGTTTCTCCTTCTGCCATGGGGGATGCCCCTGGGATTGAACTGAGGGCGTCAGGCTTGGTGGCAAGCACCCTTACCTGCCGAGCCCTCTCAGCGGCCCTTCATTCATTCTTCATTTCCCACTTTTGGAGGCTGTTTCTGTCTTTGCACCGAATACATCTACAGTTCCTCTTCTTAAGGCTTGAGAGTCAATTTTAATATTATTTTTAGTCATTTACTCTTTCTAATCCCTTGTGGGTTTCATGATTAATTTTCTGATTTATTTTTATTTTATAAGTGTTTTGCCTTCATGTGTCTAAGTGCACCATGTTCGTGCAGTGGCCTCAGAGGACAGAAAGAGGACATTGGGTTTTCTGGAACTGGAGTTAGAGACAGTTGTTAGCTACTATGTGGGTTTTGGGGCTAGAACCTGGGCCCTCTGAAAGAGCAGCCAGTGCTCTTAACCACTGAACCTCTTTCCAGCCCCCATTTTTTTCTTATAAAGACTAATTAGAACAACCCCTCTAATTCTGAGTTTTAAATGGATAAAATAAGAAAGCAGTGGGAAAGGAACTCATCAGTGCTGTGTGGGCACCGTGTGCGTCGTTTCGTGTTTGTTTGATTTCTGATTTTAGTTTTATGACTTTATTTAGTGTGCTCTGGATTTAGAGGTATATATCAACCTAGAGAGTCAGAATCTCAGTGGTTTACTCGTTAGCAGCTGCTTTTAACCTTCTTGAATAGTTTTACTAGTTCTTATAAAGAATATGACATGCGTCAGGGTTATGAAATGGGAAAATATCATTAACATAGCACTTAGGACAGTGTAATTACATGTGTTATGCCACGTTTCCCTCCAGTTCTGTACTGGGCTTTTCAGATGAAGAGATACTGTTGATTTCCCCTGCATTATAGTATACAGTGTTAAGTACACAGAATTTCTGACTGACCAGTTATTATTTAAGTGGATCAGAACATGATTAGATGTTTTTAAGACTAAATAACATTTGCCTTGAAGATTTTAGCTATGCATGTGCTACAACTAATATCCTTCATAGGAAGGAATAGATTGCCATTTAAAAAATAGTTAAAAGTGGGCTGGAGAAATGGGTCAGTGGTTAAGAGCACTGGCTGTTCTTTCAGAGGGCCTGGATTTGGTTCCCAGAACCCACATGGAGGCCAGCAAACATCTATAACTCCAGTTCCAAGAGACCCAAAGCCCTCTTTTGGCTTCCAGGCATTGCACATACATGATGCACTTACATACATGCAGGCAAAACACTCATATACATAAGATAAAAATTTAATAAAATAATTGGAATCAGGAGAAATATTTGGAATCATTCTCATCTGTCAGCAGTAACAAAATTTAGGGAACAACTTTACATTTCATTCCATATATGTGTTTCACACCACATTTGATACTTGATATTAATGAATTTTATTGACTTGTTTTTGGTTAATTTATTGTAATATTTTATATTTTTAGTGGCTGTTGTAACTACTAATTTCGAGATCTTACTTTTTGTTCTTATATTTGTTCACAGGTGGCAAACTCTGGTCATATATCAGTAAATTTCTAAACAGAAGTTCCCAAGAAAGCTTTGACATCAAGGAAACAAAAAAACCCACACCTAGTAAAGTTTACCTGCAGCAGCCAACTGGTAGTCCTCAGGACAGCAGCAGCTTTGAGTCCAGAGGAAGTGACGTGGGAAGCATGCTCAGAGTCCTGCCTCTGAAGACCAGTCTCACCCCAAGTTCTCAAGAGGAAGACGATGGCCTGGACAGCTCTCCCAGGTGGCCCGATTCTGGCTCTAGTTCTGAAGAGGAGTGCACTACCAGTTACCTAACCTTGTGCAATGAGTATGGGCAGGACAAGATCGACCCGGGCTCTCTGAATGAGGAGTCTTTCATGAAGCCGGAAGGGAGTGATGGCAGTACTCCGAGTTTCCCAGCACCCCTTGCTGCAGATGGTGCCAGCCCTAGCACACAGCTGAAGGTCTTCCCTGGAGACAAGGACCTAGAAGCAGTTTGTTCTCCACAGACGTCCGATTCCCTCACACGGTCAAAAAACAGCCCTATGGAGTTCTTTAGGATAGACAGTAAGGACAGCACAAGTGATCTCCTGGGACTTGATTTTGGAGAAAAACTGCACAGTCTAAAATCAGAACCTTTGAAACCATTCTTCACCCTCGTGGATGGAGACAGTCCTGGCCAGCACTTTAGTACCAATGAAAGCAAGATAGAAACCAAAGCTCAGGACACCATCAGTGGGGGCTCCGATGACTCTGTCCCCGTCATTTCATTCAGAGATGCTGCTTTGGAGGATGTTAGTGGTGTTGATGAAGGAAGGCCAGATCTTCTTGTAAATCTACCTGGTGAACCAGAGCCAACCGAAGAGGCATTAGCAAGAGGACCTGCTAAGTTTGCACAGACCAGTGCAGGCAGAATGGAAAGTAAACTGTTGGGAGCCCCGGATGTGCTGTGCCTGCGGCCGAGTCCCGAACAGTGCCAGGCCCCAAAGGAAGAAGGTGGGGAGCTGAGCGATCCCACTCAGTTCCCACCCTGTGGTGTAACCCCAAAGCACAGTATGCAGGTGGATCTTGGGGTATTATTCACAGCGGCTATTGACCATGGTAGCCCGGGAGACCCATCTTTGTTACCCAGCTCACATCCTGAGTTTGAAGGACCTGGACAGGTGGAGGCAGCAGTAACTGCGCACGACACAGGAGGAAGCTTGTTCCAGATTGCCAGTCCACCGTCAGGTGCTAATGAACACAGAGCAAACACAGACGCTTGCAAAACGGAAGAAGTGCTGCTGTTCACAGACCAGGCGGGTGATTTGTCTAAAGAGGAATCAACCTCTTTATTCCAGAGGGACACGGAGACTGAGGAGCAAAGTGGGTCAGCTCTAGGAGACAAGGAGATCCATCAGATTTTCGAGGACCTTGATAAAAAACTAGCACTGAGCTCCAGGTTTTTCATCCCGGAGGGCTGTATCCAAAGATGGGCGGCTGAGATGGTGGTAGCCCTCGATGCCTTACATAGAGAGGGGATTGTGTGCCGCGATTTGAACCCAAACAACATCTTATTGAATGATAGAGGTCAGGAACTTTTGCAAATGCATTTCTTTTTATTCGCTGTTGCTTCCAATTAACTGAGTAGGCGTTTTATCTTGTAATTAGTATCTTCATTTCCTGTCTAGAGCTTCATTATCAGTGCAGCAAATTCACCCCCAGTAATAGCTTCTAGTACTTAATGATGCCATTATTCTTAATGATACTGTTTTTAGCCACAAAAGGAGTAATTACAGTTCACTTCTGCAGAAAATGGAAGAGAAAAATGTTTTGATTTCTCCTGTCGTTTTGTTTTTAGGACACATTCAGCTAACGTATTTTAGCAGGTGGAGTGAGGTTGAAGATTCCTGTGACAGCGATGCCGTAGCAAGAATGTACTGTGCCCCAGGTTAGAGCCATCTCCTCAAGCGCTTCACTTGCAAAGGTGGCTGGGCAGCTCTCGTTTCTCCTCGAGTTGTGGTTTTCATTTCCAGTTCACGTATGTGTTGGATCTGGTTATCCTTTCAACACTTCAAAGAAGAAAAGTAGACGATGCGATACGTAGATACATGTTTGTATGTGTGTGTGTATGCGTGCACACTTACCATTCTTGTTAAAGGCATTTATGTGCCTCTGAAAACACAGTGCATTCTCTACAGTGTCTTAATCTTAGCCTTTGTGTCTTGAGCCTCTTTATGTGGGTGATGTGGTATAGATGGGCAAGCCTCTTTAGGTCAAGATGTGAGCCAGGTAGCCGACTAAAGGGTGAACCTCCCAAGTCTAAAAGTGGATAAAAGTTGTTATCTTAATACAGTGTGATTTCAGGGATGAGCTGTCCGTGCGGTTTAGAGTACATTTTTAAGAGGTCCTTTCTGTATTTGGGAGCATTTTGTAAGCATGTTTCTTCTGCTTTAAAATAGCCTATTTGTCCAAATACTTGACACCAGTTTCTCTTGCCCTTACTGTTATGGTCTTTATTTTTAAAGATTACAGATTTATTTCTGTAGGCATTAGGCCTTTTTTGGCAGTTGTAGCCTACACATATGGATTGGCTTCCAGTCACTTTCTGTTATCAATGCAGGTGAGGCTCCGGTTACATCAAAGCTTGGTCACCTTCCTGTAGTGCTGGTCTCTCGGGATGAGCAGAGTTGGCTCACCTGTTGCCCCTCTGGCCCACAGCGGTGTTGGGCTGCTGGAACAGATAGGCTGTGCTTGGTTGCAGTGTGGAATGTTGACCGGCTCACTGCTCAGCACTCACCGCTCACAGCTCAATGTTCACTGCTCACCGTGATGTTATTGCTAACTCTATTTAGCTCAGCCTCACAGGCAATGGGAGTAACTAGGAGTGGAAGGCTTTCTTACCCTTGGTTGTAAGCTTCACCGTTCAGCATTGCTTCTGTATTGAGGAAAGGCAAAGGCTTCCAACCTACAAAGCCTAAGTCCCCAACTTTCCCCAGACAGCTGTTTGTTGGGCTGGTACTCTTACTCTCCCCGGCTCAGCGCTGTCTGACTGCGTTTCTTCCTAGAACAACAGCACATACACATTTTTTCATTTTCTTAAGGGGATCACGTGATTCTGTCATATGGTTAATGGAGTAACAAAAAATTGTCCATAGCGAAATCACCTGATCTTGCATTTACAGACCTCACTTTCTAATTTGGTAAGAAATGTCACTTTAGGTACTGAAGAATCTAAGTACGTCTATTAATGTTAATGAGTTTGGAGGTCTTAGAGCCCACGTTGAGTTGGAGAGTTTGCTTTTTGCCCGTTCCATCCTGAAATGGAGTCAGTTGTAAAGCATGGGGCTGAGTGCCAGTGGCCTGTGCCTGTGCCTGTTCCTTAGTTTCCTCTTTTATTAGGACTTTTATCCAGAAAACCAGCGATAATGGAAATATGGGAAATGGCATTGCCCATGTATTGTTTTTTTAGTCTGAAGATCCATAGCAGCTTAGCCTCTGAGTACTTTGATACAGTAGGAAAAAAAATGTACATTCATTAGGGGACGCATACTTTCAGTTTTACCTACTGAAATATGGAATTTCATCCATACCAGTTTCCAAGGCTCAATTTTATTTCCCCCAGGAATACGAGTTCTCGAAACGTACCAGAAGGTGGCAGTGCACCATTAATGGATCTTTTTTAGCTGTCCTCCTCTAGGTTGTCCTTCACTAGTGTTTGGGAGAAAAAAAGTCCAACCAAACTATAGTGTAAAGAGGGGCTTTGTTGTGATTATTTGCATAAAAGAATCGTACCTTCAAGCCGTTCCGTTGCTCAGTGTGCTGGCATCATGGCATGCATTGACCAGAACGCAAAGCTTCTCGGTGCTTGGGTATGTCAACATCAGCAGCAAGGAGAAAGAAGGCCAGGAACGGACTAAATAGAAAAGTCATCTCATGTTCTAATGAATAGGACTGCAGAGCAGACCTGGAGAGTTAAAGAGCTCAGAACAGTCCTCGGCTCCCCACTCCCCTTGAATACGAAGGGTACGGGCAGAAGGTTGTGAAGAATTGCTTTTCCTAGCTAGTCTTCCTTCTCAGCGGGTGCGGGCAGGGGTGATATGCTGATATCTCAGTATTTGGAGAGCAAAAGTCACGGAGTACTAGGCCCTCAGAGGCTTTTGACCTGCCCCTCCCCCATGCCTATCCTCTCCTACTTTCTGGCTCTGACCTGAGTGTTCCCAAGGAGGTTAGCAGCTGGGTTTGGCCAGAAAGTGAAGTTGTCAAAGATAATGGTGAGAAGGTTTTACCTCTGTTTACACAGCATGCAGCCTTTCCCTGCCACCCCTCCTGGGAACTCTTATCACATATTTGTCCAAAAAACATTACCCACCTGCCCTGTACTTTCTACTACCAGCACTGCATCCTTTTATCTCGTGGATGGTGTGCCTTGATATTTTGAGAAAAATTTCCAGTAACAGATTCGATTTACATGGACAGAAACTTGAGCAAATGCCAGACTAGCAGGGGGGCCTTTATTCTGCTCTATAAATAAGTGTACACCAGAGCACACACAGAAACCTGGGAATCAACATGTGTTGGTCTAATTGAGGGAAAAGCAAGATAGATAAATTTTGAAATGCAAATGATCACCTTCTGTTATTTAAGAAGCGTTTCTGCCAACTTTGTGATCTTAGATTTTAAAGAGAGGCAGCCCTCTCAGCCTTCACACTCCCAAGGAAGTCTCAGATCCCCAAGTTTCTGCAGTAAAGCTAAGAACTTTTTAAAATTTTTTTTTTTTT